TTAGGGCTGGCCCCCAGCCAGCACCAGGGCCAGGGAGGAAAACTCAGCTGTAAACTCGAGCGGAGCCTGGAAAGCACAGCAGTGTGATCCCTGGGGAGGGCTCAGCACCCAAACACCACTCAGCACCTTGCTCAGCCCCGCTCTCGCAGCAGGACAGGTGCTGTGCTGGGCTGGGGAGCGGCAGGGCCACCCGCCACCTCCCATCACCCGCCGAGGACAGCAGCCCTCCCCACCCTGCTGGGGGTGCGGAGCCAGCCCTGCTGCGCGGCTGGGAGCCTCCCGGCTCACCTCCACCAGATGGTTGTCTGGCCCGTACAGCTCTTTGTCCAGCTCGATGACAAGGCTCTTGAAAAAGGAGGAGAACTTCCTCTTCTGCTTGCTCGGCTGCAAAACAGAGCGGGAGAGACTTGGCCTGATACCACCAGCCACGGAGGGCCCAGCCCAAACACCGCCTCCAGCACCCAGCGAGCAGAGGGACGTATCCTCTCCAGCCAAGCTCTCGCCACAGAGTACCAGTTCTCCTCCCACAATCAGTTCATCCCTGCCCGTATCCTTACGTCCTCCAGCAGTTTGCCCTCCACGCGTAGCTCCCAGGAGGCCACACGCTCACCACCCTCCCCTTCTTCTTTGGCTGGGGTGAAAGTGTTGGAGATGTAAATCCTCAGTTTCCGCTTTTGCTGTGGAATAGGAAAAGAGAGAGGGGGGATGCTTGGCATGAGAGGGTGGCTGGCAGCACCCGCCCTGTAACCCCCAGCCTTGCAGCTAGCCAGGGCTGCCACGTACCGTCAGCGGTTTCTTAATGGCCTCCTGAATCTCCATTCTCTTCCGAGCGATGGTTTGGTCCAGCTTGCGCTCAAAGGCGAGGAGGTCCATGTAGGCCTGGGATTCTGGGACCAGTTCCCGGATCTGTCAAACAGAAGCAATCAGTCTCTTGCGTGCTGGGATGGGGCTGCGTCCCCCACACCAGCCCCAGCACTGCTACCAGTGCTGAGCTGACACTCCAAGGAGTCACAAGTGACGAGTCCGGCACGAGAGCACCAATTTCTCATTTTAGATGAGGACTACAGCCCTGCAAAGCTCTCCCCAAATCACAGTGCTGTACTGCAGACCTCAGCTTGGAGCCTGTCACTGTGCCCAGCAGCCTGCCCAATGTCACAGGCAGGTAACGCAACCCTGGATCGTCAAGAGGGACCTCCAGGAGAGGGTCAGGGTCCTCCTAGGGTTTCTACCCCAAGCCACTGCTGCTCCTCACTTGCCCAAAGTCCTGCCTGTCCAACTTGTGCACACCCCAAACCTCTCCCACCACCCCAGAGGATGAGACAGAAATCTTCCAGGGTGGTTTGGGACCAAGTAGAAGTGACCAGCAGGCAGGATGTGGCCCAGCGAGATCCTCCTCCCCGCGGGGACCTCATCGCCCCGGTTGCCCTGGGAAGGCAGCATGGATGCATCACCCCCCTCCAGCAGCTCAGCTCCTTCCCCACACACTGAAGCAGCACTCACCCTCTGTGGCAGGACCTTGTCAGCCATCTTCCTCCTTTTCACCCTGCAAAAAGCACAGAGGCAGGCAAAAAGAAAAAAATTACACTGCAGCTCTCACAGGACATCTTTCTGCCTGCCGAGT